GGGGGGGGGATAGGATGCTCGGCACAGAGCAGTAAAGTTAGAGGAGGTCAGAGGGGATGGATGGATGCTACGTGGCACCAGACTGGCATCTAAAAGAGTGATTGATCATCTGGACCGAGAAACGGCTCAGACTCGCATCGGCACAGCAGAAAATTGCTGACCGGCATATAATCCTGAGTCGGCACACGTCAACACATCTTTAAACAACATGCTCAACATCCCTAAACTTCAGACACCCTGACAAGATGACTGCAGCCTGCAGCAGCCCCCCCCCCCCCCCCCCCCCAGGAGGAGGAGGAAGAGGAGGAGGGTTTTAAACTCACAGAGATATTCAGCTGAGTAATGATGCCGGAGTGTGACAACAAAAAAGAGAGGAAAGAGAAAGCTGTTCGTGTTTTTTCCTCTATGTCTGTGAAGTCGTTGTGCACAGCCTGCAGAGATACACATGCAATCATAACACACACACACACACACACACACACACACACACACACACACACACACCTGCTCAAAGCAAACTGAAAGGCACATTATTGAGCAGCGTGGAAATGAAATGTTTCACTTATTTTACTTAACTTGTGTGTTATGAATGATTGGTTCATACATCGATATCTGTGGCTTTTATTTAGGCTCCAGTATTTGGTTAAAACCGAGAGTCAAGCCTATCAAAGTCAAGACCTCATCTACGAACTTTAGCAATTTCAGTCATAGGGTTCACAGTGGGTAAGGGGGAAATGCGTGGTGTCCCATGGTGCAATGCTGCAGCAAATGCATGGATGCCATCCTGTCCATTGCGTCAAAACATATCTCTCCTGTTGACGTTTTCAGGTTTTAAACCTTTTTCCCCCATGAATCACAGCAGCCACACAGATAACAACCACAGATACACAGACCGGTGATCCGCTCATCACTCACCCCGCTCTATCTGCGCCCTGGCGGAGTCCAGCTGGTGCTCCGTGCCGATCTCCCCGATCACTATCAGCGCGTAATAGCCGCTCCGGTTGAACGGCACCCCGTGCCGCCGTCTCCCGCCTCCTCCTCCTCGCCGGTACCGTAGTCGCTCCTCGGACCCCGGCGGTGGCGGTGGCGCGCTGTAGCCCTCGTCTTCTTCCACCACCGAGAGCGCACCACGGAGCACCGGGATCTCCATGGCAACAACCGGTGAGGTGGAGGATGAGGAGGGGATAACGTGTTCAAAAGTACAGATTAATTTCCGGTGAAACTTTCAAAATAAGAGCGCTTTGGTGAATGTGTTCCGGTGGCGTTCACGACTGTATTATTATTGTGCTGCAGATTGGTGAACGTTTTTGTATTTAGACAAAAGACACTTTAAAATAAAATAAACAGCTATGTCAAAATTAACAATAGCAATAATAACTCGATAAACGCTAAGTAGCTCACCAACAATAATAATACTTTTTTTTTGCCATAATAATAATTGCATATCACAAAATATAGTTTATAGGTATTTTATATTTCATACTGCCATGTTATTTAATTAGAATCTGCTTTAATCAACTGGTTGACGAAGAAATGACAAACATTTCAGATGATCAAAATAGTGCAGGCATGAGTCAAAACTTTATTTTTACCTGTAAGGAGCGACTCTCTGTGTTAATGTCGCCCCAAATACTCATTGAATCCCTCCCGATAGACAGCTGACACCTGAAGAAAATACCACAAGAGATGTGAGATGCTCCTGAACAGCAGGTCAAAAAATAAACTTTTAACGTAATCCCTCCATGTTTGCTAACAGAACGCCACGTGAACCAATCACGCAGTAGCGCGACTTCTGAGGTCGCAAATGACGTGATGCTAACAACAAGCTAACGTTAGCTCGAGGCGATGCAGAATTTAAGCTTGCACAGTTATCCTGCTGTTTTTAAGTTTACCCGAGATATAATTGCCCGAATTCACAGGTGAATTAGCATCATGGAAGCCTTTTCTTGTCATGTACAAGACTGACATGGTGTTTTAATATACACATAACGGTTTAATATAACGCAGCTAAACGTAAAACTACAAACATTCCCATAATGCAACACTCTGTTCACTAACACCCACTAATTTGCAGAGGGGAAAAAAACGTTGCTTGTTGAGTTTAATGGACTCAAATTAAACAGCCATGCAATGAATCATGCATTCGTTAACGTTAAACATGAATGTTCAGTTTTTTTCCTTTAACTGTTTATTCAACTTTAAGGTCATTTTGGAGGATGTAGTTTGTGGTGCTGCTGACAGGTGTTGCTATTTTTCTGTCCACCACATGAAATCATTTAAGGGTAAGCTAAATAACACAAACACTTATTTTTTCCAATACAGTGCAAGTACATCCTCCAAAATGATCATGAAGTTGAATCTCTAAAACCTTATACCATGCATGAAGGTAGTGTATGTAGCTGGTATGGTATTATACATTAGACTGCATTTGTTTTTAGATAGGTGTCCCTAATAAACTGGCAGCTGATTCCTGTTTTCTTACACCAGGAATGACACTGCATTTACACACATTGTGGCATCCAGGAAGTAGCTCCCATCCTGTCATGCTTATGCATGAAAAACATGAATATGACACAAACCAGTTACACGTACAATGTTCCACTGAAATCTCACAAAAGCTGAATCAGACAGCCTGAGCGTAACTATAAACTGAACGAGACACTTTATGGAAAAGATTGTACAGTCTAGCAGGATTTAAAGGGAATTAGACCTTTCTAAACGTCAATCAGGCACTGCCGTTCCCTCTTCGTCAGGAACCAGATGAAGTATGAATGTAGTCAGTCGTGTGCAGTGAATGTGGAAGACTTATTAAAATAATCTGTCGAGAATTAAAGGACAACACAACGTGTTTTTTTATGCACACACACACACACACGCACACACACACACGTGTCAGGGCACATCGATAAAGACAGAGAGAGAGAATGCAGGCCGGCCTTAAAATAGCCTCTTTCTTCTCAGAGAAATGTTCCTCATTCAGCTTTTCTCCCGGTGTAACCTTGAGCTTGGCACATTTCAGTGTGTAGCAGAGGGCGTCTCAGCATAAAGTGTCAGCATCACACAGAGGGGATAATAAGGAGGTCTGCACCAACGTCTGTTGGGCCCCACAACAAAGGCTGCACCTTCCTTTTACTGCGATTATTGCTGGTTTAACACGTGGCAGGAGATATCTGCAAATACAAGCACACGTTTTCAGATCTCTCCCGGTTTGTAAATACTTTCCTTTCATTTAACCAATGTTCTTATTAAAGTTAGTCTTTCGTGTGCTGTTTTGTATTAGTAATTCTGATTCAAAATTCAAATACCCCAACATATCTCTTACTGGTTTCACATTAAGCTGAAGTGAAATGGTTATCAGGCATATGTTTGTAAGAGACACAATGAAAGAAGTACAAATAAACAGTAGCAGTGTGAAGATACCTCATGTTTTGTTTTGCTGCAGGTCTTTCTGACAGTGAGTCAGCACTTCACTTCAGCGCAGACCTGCAACACAGACTTGCTTCCCTCTAGTGGTAAAAAATAACGAGCCTCCCTGCTCATTACAAATCAGTGGATGATGTAAGCTGTGATACATCTGTAGGTTGTGGCTGAGAAAATTGTCAGATCCACTAGAATATACAAATATATCTCAGTTCTGGTTTTCTATTGTAAAAGACAAAGCACATGTTTAATCATAGACTAAAACGTTTTGAAGTAGATGTTCAGAGGAGACACTAGAAACATTTATACACATTTTAATGGAAAGTTCCACAGTAAAACTCTTTGTTCTCCTTTTATTTCAAGAACAATGTGACTTTACTCAAATAAAAGACAGTAAATTGTGTCTGACACTCCCAATATTTCACCTTTAATTTACAACTAATTCCCATTTTTTGCTCTCCAATCAGACAATGTTGTGTCCGTTCTTCAAACATGAAGCAGATTAGATCATTTTCATCCCAAAACCACAATATCTACTGTGCATTACTGTATCAACATATGGAACGCTATAGCCTGGCCTCTACCTCGCCACCTGCTGGACAAAATATATTAAAGCATATTGTTCCATTAACACAGTATCCATCCAACCTAATATTTGTATTACTCAATATATACTACCATCATCAAAACTCAAAAAGCTATAAAAACATGTGTATTAAAGTATGAAAATGTCGGGTTTTAATTAAAACGTGTAAGAATAAAATGAGAGTTTAAGTGTCATACGCTTTGAGAATAAGCTAAAACATGAACGGGTTGAGGTTAAATTTATATTTTACGCTTTAATTCGTTGTGATTTAACTCAATTTATTATTACTTTACAATTCACTTGAGGTAGATCCCATTTACGACTGGCAGCAACAGCGTCGTCTTTCACAGACAATAAAGCAAATAAAACATAAGCCCTTTGCAGGATGTAGTTCACCGGCCGTCCTAGTAGTGAACTAAATGGCGTTTGACGTTTACTGATCTTATTACATAGAAAGAGATGAAGATGTAGAAAGAGAGTTCAGGAAGGTTTGGTGAAAAACTTCACTCACTGGCTGGTTTGTTACAGAAACCCAGGTGTTGGTGATGAGATTGTTCGGTGATTATAATGCTGCAGATAAACCACTGGGACCTTTCCTCGTCTCTCATTACTTGCACCATCTCAGCAAAACATGGATTGTATATTTCTGTAGAATTCACCTTGTATAAGTGACATTAAAAGCAAACCTTAATTAAGAAATTAAAAAAACAAATCTTTCAATATGTGTCTGACTTTCAGGTTGCAGTGAAGAAGGAAACCGCGCGGTTGGCTCTTGGAGTCACCGACCCGTCTGGCCCAGTTTGTTGATGGATGCGTTTGATGGGAAGTGGCCGCAGTTATTCTGAGGTCCAGACTGAGTGACAGACACACAGACAGACGGTCGAAGCAGCAGTTCGGGTTTAAGTGTGGATTCCCCACAGAGTGTCTGGGTTAAAGGTCGGCCTCTCCTCTTTACTTTGTGTCCGGTCGTCTCTCTCTTACATATAGAGAGGAGGAAACTGAGGGAGAAATGTGAGACTGGTCTTGAGCTATTGATGAGAGAGCCGTCTACAGCTGCTGTTTAACAGAATTTAAACGGGGCAGGAATTTCACTTAACCCTTGTGCTATCCTGGGGTCATTTTTGACCCCAGGATAGCACAAAATGTTCTAAATAAATGAGACATCATATTTTTGGTTTAATATTGAATGACTTTTCCTAATTTAATGGGGACAACTGGGTAAACACAAACTCAACATGTTGATATGTAAAGTTTTATGTAAAGCCATTGAAACACCCAAAAAATATGTCTTTCCAATTTTAGGTCAATCAGGGAGATTTTATGGTGATCTGCATATTTCTCCATAGTCCCGTAACAGGGGGGGTTGTTTTATTTAAAGGGCTATTTAGGTAGTCAACAAAAAACTAAGTACCTGACACATAAACTTGGGTAGCAATTTTAATTACAATAATGCTCTGCAGGTTCAAATTGCTGGGGTCAAAAATGACCCCAGGATAACAGGTGTTAGTAAATTTGAAGGTAACAGGAGGGTTTTAAGTAACATCCGTGCAAGCAAGCAACATATCAGCAAAGCATCAGAGAGTGTGCAGCTGCACTGACTGTACAACCAGTGCAGACTACAGGCAAGAAAGGTCTAACATGTCCTGTCTGCAGGTGGAACAAGTAAGAGTCAACATCAACATGTCTACGTCTTCAAGTCTAAACTGCGGCTGCTAGAAGCTTCCCTTTCAACTCGGTCTCCTTCAAAATGATGTTCTCACAAACCTAAACTGCATTCATCATTTATTTTCTTCCAGATTACAGTCGCAGTTTTGAACATGGGATTAACGTTGTAAATTGAAAGGAAACAGAAAAGTCATCAAAACTTGGTTTTGGTTCGGCAACAAAAGAACATAGTTAGTTTTAGATGAAATCATGGTTTTGTTGCACGTGAACAGAATGTTTCGGAGAGCAGGCGGTCCATTAACATCACTTGTTCATGTCCTTTTTGATCTGCATCCCTTTAAATCAAGGTAACGTCTACTTGTGCAATATTTTATTTTAAGAATTTCTGTTTCATTTAGTAATATTTGGATCACTGTGAAATAACATCATTCATTTATTCACAAAAAATCAGCAGAAAAAGCTTTTGTTTTTTTTCTGTTATTCATCTTGTGCCCCTTCAGATTTATTTTAATAAATAGTTCTCAACCCCCAGATTGGGAACCGTTGCTTTAGATGGAGCAGGTGGTAAACAAACAGCGCCCCCTTGTGGAGAATAATGAGGCGTGGTTCAACAGTAAAAAGTGTCTTTACCTTTTCAATAATATCACATCTAAGTGACCAGAATCAAAGAATCATCGACTGAATGTTTATAAGATTAGAATATTGGTGAAAAACTGATTAAACAAACCCAGAGATTTCACATCGACACATCAGAATATTAGAATTCCTTTTTGTTGTAAAATATTCATAACAATATCAAAAACTATAGGATCATTATAATTAAAACAACGACATGTTTAAATGAAAGCAAAGCATTTTATTGATGCGATATTCAATATTGAAATACAAAAGGCACTAGATTCTGTTCTCTCTCAAAACAATGCATTCAGCGACGTGTGGATCAGTACAAGTCTTGTGTTATGTGATGGATGTAAGCTCGAACCTTAAATTAAACCGCTTTCTGCTGCAGGAACGTCACACGATTGGTAAGAGTTTGCAGTTGTTCTCCAGGAAACGCTAACATGTGTTACACCCAAGCTGACGCTCTAAAACAGGACATCAAATAAACACACGCGTGGATGTTTTATTAAGAAAACACATAGAAAATATACACCAGTACACAAATAATTTACAGCTGGGTGGTCGTCATGAAGAGGAAGACTTTTGAAGAAGTGATAGAAAATGAAAATGCACCTCGGCTGCATACTGGTGAGGTTGAGACACTGGTTCGCTTTAGGAGAAGGTTTAAAGTGTTACGGCAAGTTTACACTGAGCTCAACACACTTAATCTTCATGAAACATAAAGCGTTGCTCGTCTTGCATTTACTGTTAGTAGTGATTAATAGAACAAACTCTATACATTGATGTCAACCTACTTTTAATTAAATGTTCCATTATTATAGTCAGTATTGCTTTGGTTTCCTCAGAAACAACTCTTGAAAGTGTAAACAACGCAGAAGTAAATGATAAGAAACAAAAAAATCTGATGCTTTAATAAGTAATTTGGCCGCAAGTGAAATCAAATGATCGTCTCTGTGTGTTCTAAGTTACAGTAGAAATTAAATTAGCTGTTTACAAGCATGGAGTTAATGGAAGCAAAACACTCTGATTTCCTCTGTGTCTCTTCTTCGTGTAGAAACTGTTTAATGTGATGACAGATACTAAAATATACAGTGTTTACACAGATGTTTCTGACAACACAGTTGTTTTTCAGAAAGATCTTGGCAAAAGTTTGGTTCCAGACAAAAGCCAAAAGGCACATGTTTTAAAAACATAGTTAGTACTTCTCAAAGTGACGGGGAGGTTCAGTCCGAGTATTTGTCCTTTTTGAATCATTAGCCACTCAGAATTAAATGTAAAGTTACAGTAATAACTTCAGATCTAAAGTCCGACAGAAAAGACACGATTAGCTGCGTGATTTATCCGTTATGTTTCTTCCGTATTAGACTGAAATTTTGCGGCACACAAAAAGAGATGGTTATCTCCAAAATAGGTTCAACAACAAAAATAAATGCCTTTTAAGAATGTGGAAAGACTTCATCTTATTTATATTACAGGATCAGGGAAACAAAAGCGTACTGCGCCCACATGATCAAGACATGGGATCACACACACACACACACACACACACACACACAGTCACATATTACACTGAAGAGCTTTGCCAAGAAAAGTGCACACACGAAATGTACAAAGCCAGGAGAAACTGAAATAGTCATCAGTCAACTTCATTCATGCTTTCCACCACAGAATGCACCTGATGCGTGACTTTCCCCTCGATTGCTTTCTACAAGCAGAGCCGACGAGAAGCGGAGTTAACATGGGGAATTACACGTGCATTGATAGGAGGGAGGCTGCTAGTGTAGCTCAAGGTCTATACATTATGAGGTCAGATTAAAATGTGCAGCCTCTGGCTCCAGCGTACGCACTGAACCTCTACTTCCTGATTCATTCAGCTTAGTTTTACCGAACCATCTAGACCTGATAACACATAGACCTTGACCTGTTGAATGGAGCTCAGCTCAGTCTACCATCGGTTAGTTTCCCTGGAAGGCCCCCTGTGCGGCGGTGGATGCCACGCCAGAAGCAGCTGTTTGGAAGCTTTTATTGGTGAAGACGCCCTGCGAGAATTCCTGCTGGGCCTTCTGGAAACTGGCCCCGGTCCGGCGGTACATGCTGTGGACCTGAAGAAAAGAAAGATTGTGAGCATATGGCTGGCCTGGGTCACAGGGATGAGGGACATAAATGATCAACTTCCACCACCACATTCAGAGGCTGTTGATTGATATGATTGATACGACGAACCTAAATCCCCTAAAGCACAGATTCATTCAAGGACATGGCTGTTAACCCACAAATGGAAACTTAAAATACGACCAAAAAGTAGGTAGCGCCTCACCATCTTGAGCATGATGATCGACAGCACAGCGCAGATGGTGAAGAGGATGGCCACGATGATCATGATGGCTCCCACTGCCGTGTGTGTGCCGATGATGGTGAAGGCAGTGATCCAACCGCTGGAGGCAACAAACATCATCAACTTTGAAAGTATGAAACATTTGTATACATGTACAGAGAGTACTCATGTAGTCTGGATGAGAGTTGGGTTGTATTTAGGGAGAGAAGAAGAATGTGTTGAAGAAGCAGCGTGAAAGAAAAGCTGAGGAAGATACGAGAAGAAGAGGCAGAATAGAGCAGTTTCCAATCATACATTTGGGACTTAATAATAATGATCATAATAAAAGTGGATATTATTACAACATGAGCGCTGAAATATTAAACGAAGCACATTTCAAAGTGTGGGTTAATTGTCATATTAACATCCTAAAAGTGCCTTTGTTTGTTTTAGAATTGAGCTGCTTTGGGATTTGCATCTCATCTGCAAATGAAGAGCTGCAAAACAAGTAAGGCCTCCTCGACTGCATCAGTTTTGATAATGTACAAAGCCATGATCAAATGAGAAGTATTGTTATGAAATGGAAAAGGGGGAAATGAAGAGCCACTTGGACAAGGGTCATTCTGGAGAGTCTTTACAGTAAAGAGTCTTTACAGTCTTTACAGTCTTTACACACTTTACAGGTAAAAATCTGACATCAGACACACAACTATGAGGCTTCACATGTAAAAATACATAAGAGGCAGAATCCCAAACGTACAGGTAAGAATGTTAATACAACAAGATTGAGGTTAGGACATTAAAAGTCAGCTCATAGAGAAAACTAAAATGCGGCTCACCTGTTCCCCCACTTGGGGATGCCTACAGCCTGGATGATGAAGATCACCACTTGGCAGAAAAACACAAAGAAGAAGAAGAAGAAGCTGAAGGAGCTGTCCGTCCTGAAAATGAGAAAAAACAATGTACGTTTCACTTAAAACGTTACACTTTGGGAAATACTTTCAAAGGCTGGCTTACAAATTCAAAATAAAAGGTGAAGCGTTGCCATTGAGTGAGCATGTGTTGTGCATGTGTGACCAAGTCTTATAACAACCAAGAATGAATGAAATGAATAAAAGACAATAAGGTGACGAGGTTGTGGCATTTTCTATTGTCTCATTGGGACATCACTCAGCGTATTACTGAGCTCATACCGTGGACTAATATTAGACGGCGATGTTTTAATATTTATTCGTGTTTAACCCACTGTTTAGATTAGTTCCACCTGTTTAACTCATAATATGGTGCAAAGAGTATATGTTGATGTTACCTGACAGTTTAATATACCTACTGTTACAGGTCACAGGTCACATTTAAAGGAATACGTCACTGACAAAATGAACGTTTGTGTATCGATTATTCATCGCGTGTTAACTTCAATTCTTCAAGATTCAGTTTAAAACACTGTGAACAGATGTTTTGATACAGCTTTGCTGTTGTTAAACGCAGTCCCCCATTTACCTTTCTCCATTTTTTTTTTTATTACTCAATTGGCATGTGAGAAAAACAACATTTTCTTCAAGAATTGAAGGTAACACGGGGCGAGCAAATGGTCATTTTGTGGGTGAGGTATTCCATTAACACAATACGTTAACACAACAATATCTTCCATGGCCTGCTGTGCATCAGATTGACAAAACAAAAAGGCTGACAGCTCTAATAACTCAAATAACTTTGTATGTGTTCATCAATGGCTAGGCAAGGTAAATATGTTTATACTTAGTGTAGATAGCCACATCAATCGACTGTTGTATTGCAAATGACACACACACACACACACACACACAGGTTTTATGAAGGGAGACTCACTTGAAGGCCTTGTAGACGGGCCGGTACCAGCAGATGAAGGAGCAGGGAGCGAAGAGGATGAGCCAGAGAATGGAGAGGCCAAAATCCACACCATAAACCGGATCAGCGGTGAAGTAAGCCAAGCACGCCAGCAGGTTGAGGAACAGAGTCATACAGTTGACTGAAGAAACAGCAGAGAGAGACAAGAGTCAGAGATAACAATACTACTATTAATGTCAGCATCATCTTCATGTATAGAGCAGATACACTTCTATTGTTTATAACGCTATTAAAACACATATGTTTTGGTATAAATACATGTATATATGCTTTAAATTGCTGTATGGTGAGACATCTCAGGTTTTCTGCCATTCTCTGTAGTACTTACACATCCAGAGATAGTAAATCATCTTGCAGACTCTCTGGCACGCGGGTGGGATGTCCTCTGAGAAGTCCTGATAGAAACATGGTTTGATGGGGAAGCTCTTGGGAAGTGGAGGCCAGTTGTTCTCTTTACCTGTCAAGACATCAGACAACAGCTACGCTGTTACAAAAGAAGAGCTCGCCTCCAAAATACTAATTTCACCTCTGCAGGAAGAAAAGATCAAGTTCTATGTATTATATATTTTTAAACATGGTCGATATACAAGAAAATCTCACGAAGTTACTGAAACTTGATTATTAATCAACAGTCATATTTCTATTAATATACATATTTTTTTATTATAGAATAATATAATACAATATATAAAAATAATCAAATACAAATATCAAGTGTGTGGGAACTATTTCAGCCTGTCTCCTGATTATTCACACATAATCTCATATAGTATTATACTGAAAGAATAATAAATGTATGTGTGTATATATATATATAATGTTTTTACATTCCTCTCTGATACATAAAGCCCATGTTGCATATTGTTTTCTAGTTGTGCTGCTATATATATATATATATATATATATATATATATATATATATATATATATATACACACATATATATACATATATCGCATGGCAGAGAGAAGAGGGGAGCTTGGTGTCTTTAATGACCTGACGGGCCTCTGTTCTGCAGCTCCTGCTCTCTGCGGTCCAGCTCGGCAGCTTTCCTCTCCAGCTCCTCCTGCTGCTTCAGCAGATTGACCTGAGCTGCAGCGGCCATCGCCTGCAGGAGAAGAAGAAGAAGAAGAAGAGGAAGAAGAGGAGGAGGAGGAGGCAGAAACACTTTACTCAACAAAACACACTGAATGTGCAGGAATGCATTTTGCGGACATTAGTGCAGAGACACATCAGCAGGAGTTTCACAAATGGTAGAGATACAACCAGAGAGCCTGCGTTATTTATACTGGTGTATTTTCTTACATATAACAGCCATTCTTAGAATTGCATATGTTTTCACAAGTGTTCATGAAGGCACGCATGTATTTGTCTTAAAAGGCCACGATACTGTATATAAAAACAATAATACATATTTATGATGCTCACATCTGACGTCTGACTTGGCAGAAAAAGGAAGGAGGCAGGTGATCTGTAGTGCCATTCATAAATATTTATAAGATTATCAGTGGAACAAGAAGGCTGATTAGAATATTGTGTAAACTGAGTACGCGTGCGTGTGTGTGTGTGTGTGTGGGTGTGTAGCTACCACACATCCTCAAGAAGCACTTGCTATCTGAGGAGACAGTACTGGGAGGCAGAATGGATGGCTAGCTCTTAGCAACATACAGTTACTAGAGATATATTATAGACATACAGATAGATTATATTGTGTTCTTTTGTAGGAAACTGAAGCTGTACCAAATGGGTGCACAATAACAAAGCTGCAATATGTATGACACACAAAATAGGAACTGGACCAAGGGAAGTACTGTCCTTCAAATCTACTTCAGAGTAGTATTGTGCCACTGCAGCAGAGAAGTGGAGGGTTTGGCAGAGAGAGAGAGAGAGAGAGAGAGAGAGAGAGAGAGAGAGAGAGAGA